CTCTTTCTCAATTTTTGAAAAATTAAGTGCTCTATTTAGAATAGTTTCTAACCCAGAGGAGAGGTCCTTTGGTTATTCCGGAGGTTAATGCTACTCCAGATGCCATCAAAGGAGACAAGGAGAAGTCTGTCTGAGCTTCAGGAGAAACTCTGCAGGAGAAGGCCCAGAAAGAATATGGACAGAGCAGCATGACCAGAAAAGACAGGTCAAACCAGGGAAACTCTGTGAATGAACATAGGGTCTCTGCTTGGAGTGGGCATGATGTTTAGACACAGCAGAAGGCCTGAAGTCACAGACTTGCAAGCATCAGGGAGCTTTTTCTGGGCAGAAAAGGGAGGAACCAGGTTTTAAGGGATAAAGCATAATAAAGACCTGTCAGGGCATAAAGTAATAATCTGTTTTTTGACATCCTTTTTTTGTTCTAAAACTCAAATAACCTTCATTGTATTGCTTAGCCAGTGACCATAGAGTCATACAGTTGTTGGATATGGAGATGGGATCTAGTTCTAGAACATCACTGCAGCAGGAGGGAGAGCATGCAGGACCACACAGCCGCAGGCAGGCTGGCCTGTGCACTGGGTACCAAGATCAAGACCAGTTCTGCCCTGGCCACCACCTTAAACTGCCTGCCCAGCATAGTGGCTACCTATTATTCAAGGAGATTATTTTCCAAGGCTTTTTGAAAAGTTACTTAAGAAAACTTGAACCTAAACCAAACACTAACTTCGGTAGAAATGTCTGTAATATACTTTACAGTTGGTTCCCTTGAGACACAGTGAGCAGTCCTGGTAATCGAGGAGGGAGGACTTCAACAACCACAGGCACCTGTTTAAGCACAGTGCAGCCAAGCACTGGTCCAAACACACTTATTACAAACTACTAGCCCTGTGCACGAATCCATGCTCCGCACCCACCCTCTGCCCAGAGGCTCTCCGTGGCCCAGAGGCCCATCCATGGCTGGGCACGGAACACTTGCCTCATTGCCTCAGAGACAAAGCAAGCATTTTGCCAGGCTGCTCACGCTGCCCACTCTCAGTGGCTGCCCCCATGGGACTGGGGGACTCCATTGGGACTGAGAGGACTGGGCGCCACCATCTTTTGGCTATGGGCACCGCCATATTTGTGATGGGGTAATGGTTAATTTGCATATTACCAGATAGGATGTCACAGCCGCAAGCACGATGGCTCTTCTTTATCCCCACTTCACAGATCAGGCTCTGAGGTTGAGGCTAACCCCCTGCTCCTCTGCTCCAAGCCTGGCCTGGGAAAGGCAGCTTCCTTTAGATCCTCACGCATTTGGGAGGATGGGGATTCCATGATTCCAAACAGCAGCTGTTGCAGAGCGAGAATGCTTGAAAAGAGCCGCGCTGTGTCCTAATTACCTATGGCAAGGAAAACATCTGTGTGGGGAAAGTAATGAAATTAATTCTAAAGTCGAGCAGTTGCACACATTAATTGACGTTAATTAATGCCAAATTACAAGATACTTCCTATGGAATCACATCATGCACTCCCTGGAATTGAATATGAAAAGAGTTCATCATACTTAATGCTATCACCACCAGCCTGAGGGGAGGGGGGTGAGAGCAATTGGTCCCTGGTTAGGAAGCACAGCCAGCTTCTTTCCATTCCCTTTAGGAGGGGAAAGGGAAGGAACAAGGAGTACTTGACCAAGGGCAGGCAGCATGACACTGAGCCTTGCCCTTGGGCTTGAAATTTCACTCTGAGCAAGAAATGCTCTCCAGACCTTTCCCTGTGACTTTTGTTGTATCACCCAATTGTACATTTTGTGCAGTCAGCCCAAGGACGGGGTCATTGCAGCAAGCCCCCGGTGACCCCTTAGCCCACACAGATGAGGGGTGCTGACCAGAGACTTGCATGCGGTTGTCTGCTTCTCTCACGTCGCTGCTTCTATACTATTGTTGACATTTCATATATATCTTTTATTCATTTTTTCCTGTGCAAACATACTTCTACATATCTATATATACACCTGGCACAAAATCAGGTCCATATGCACATATTTTGGTAACCTACTTTTAAGAAACTTTTATTTTGGAATAAATTTAAATAAACAGAAAAGTTCCCTGAGACAATACAGCTTTACCCAGCTTCCCCCAATGTGAACATCTTACACAACCATGGTCTATTTTTCAAAACTAAAAAATGAACATCGATAAAACATTATTAATTAGTAACCTCTGTTTATAATGTAATCTATATTAAGCATTGCTGTAAAACCTTATATACTCTTTAGAAGCAAGATTTTTAATAGCAGCTCCTTAAAAGAACTCCCTAATTTTTGTTTACTAGGCCTGATTTAAATGCCCCTTCCTAAACCAATCAGTGGTGAGAAAGTAGGTAGACCTTGAATAGGAATAGACCCAAGAGGATTATGGGAACTTCTCAATAACATTGGAAAGGATGAGTAAATAAATCCATTTTGGCCTTTCCAGCAAAGAAACAGGGAGGAATGGCTATTGGACAGGTCACCAACAGTACCTGATACAGAGATATGGCTAGAGTACTCAAATTCAGTTCAACCAGTCTTTTAAAGGACCTACTATGTGCCCAAGACTGATATAATATTTGAGAGCAAAAGAGAAAACAGGAATTTTACCAATATTAATAACAACTGGCCTTTGTAAAAGTTTGAGTTTCAAAACATTTAGCATATATTTTATTTATTTCAGTTAATTCTTACAGCCACATTACAAGATAGTTGACATTGGCATCTCCATTATGAATGAAAGTGGCAAGATTCAGGAAGACCAAGTGATTTCCTTTGAACTATGCAGCTAAATAAGTGACCACACCAAGACAGAACTCAAGCACAAGTCTCATAGTCACCAATTTCCATTGTTTTTATGACCCCATCTACCTTTGTGAAAAACAGAACTAAACATTGTAAAAGAATCTGATGGCCTGTGAAATTGTGAGGTAGAGATTTTGTGTTCTATGCGGAGCACCACTCTTGGAAGGGTTAAGTCCCAGAAATTGTCTTCAAGGACAAAGACCTTGAGTTATGCCCTAAAATAGGACTATTATAATGTCTGTAAAAAAGGATAGGAAAAGATCAGTAGAGGGCTCTTTAGTTTATTGTTGGAAGTGATTACAGCAGAACTAGAAGTAGATGGATTAAAGGACTTGAGAGCTATCCCCATTTGTCTTTTATACATGTGGCAGCCAGATGGACGAAGGTTGAGGGTAAAGTTTTCCTCCATCAGTCATTGTTCAGATGAAGCACATGTGCTGGCCGCCCCTAGTGACTCTCCTGGTAGAATTCAGAGATTCCCAGGTTCCTTTCGTAAATGTGGTCCTAGAACTTTAATTAAAGGAAATTAATCAACCCTTGTATTCAACTGTATATGGTATTGTTACCCCCATTTCATGTAAATAAATATATATTGATTTATTTTATTTGAAAAAAAAGGGATTTTTACATACGTCACTGATGTGTTAAAATCAAATTCATTAAGGATCAAAAGAGTAAAATGACTTCCTTTTGCATTTGAAAAGATACATTCCAATAAAGAGGCATGTTTCAAAAAATATTTATTGCCTACTATGTGCTAGTAATGTATTGCAATCCAGATATGTGCCTTTGACCTGGAATCAAACCCCAGACCTATGGTGCGCAGGCCAACACTCTAACCCACATGTGTCAAACACAAGGCCCGCGGGCCAAATCCGTCCCGCCAGGCCTTGCAATGTGGCCCGCACCACGCTGTCATCACTGCACTCCGCTGCGTTTCCATCACAATGACAGTTTATGACTGTTCAGTAAACCATTCGGCCCGCGATTTAGGCTGGATTTTAGATTTTGGCCCCTTCTCTGATTGAGTTCGACACCCCTACTCTAACCACTGCGAACACAGGCCAAGGCAGGAGGAACATATTAAGTAGAGGAAATACATATGAAAAGCCTTTAAAGTGGTAGGAAGTTTGGCCCACTTTCTGAACATAAAGTAGGACAGATTAGCAGAATCACAGCGGGGAGAAGATGGGATTACCATGAAGAATATTGGGTCAGTAGACAGTGGAGGGTTTGAATTTATTCTAATGCTAAAGAGGTAAAAGGAGTTTTAAATATCGAAGTGACATCTGAATAGTAGAGAGAACAGAATAGTTGTGGTTAAAAGCAAGGACAGCCTCCCTGTTACAATTTATGTCCAACAAAGACCAAAATTATGAGTTATTATATGTTTATCATCTGGCTTAGCGTCTTAGATGGGAGTTGAGGTCTTAATTTATTCATCTACAAGATGAGAACAATGTTTTTGACTCAGGAATCCCTTCTGTATTCTGTTTCACTTCCAATTAGTAGTAGAAGGAAAACCTTTATCTTGACATTGAGCCTTCTTATTTATGACAGCAGTACTCTAGCATGAGATGATTGATGATTGCATATATAGGTGTGCTTTTCCCTGTTTGTTAATCAAAGGTCAAAGTGAAGCTTAGTGAGGAAATATACTATGAAAGCACAAGTATTGCCTGGCCAGTGTTGTTCAGTGGTTGTGCATTGATCCTTGAACTGGAAGGCTGCCCTTTGACTCTGGTCGGGGCACATACTGAGTTGGTAGGCTTTGATCTCTTATTGTAGGGGGCTTGTAGGAGATAGCCAATCAATGATTCTCTCTTTCATTGATGTTTCTATCTCTCTCATCCTCTCCCTTCCATAATGGGTAAAATAAAATAAAAAGAAAGCTTAAGTATTAATGCCAGTTTTTGAAAATACTTTCATTTGGTTTAAATGGGAAAGAAATGAATTAAGGAGAATTTAGTGTTTAGGATGGCAGAGGCGCTGGGAGATGGCAAGTGAGTAAAATCATAATGACAATAATGATAACAATGATGATGACAACAATAATGTGGTTAACAGAATGCGAGGTTTATTTACATAGTTGGAGGGAGCAAGGGAAATAGACAATATACACTCAGACTCTAATTCTCTGTGTGTGCATATATCACCCTCCTGTTTTTTGTGTTTTTCCCCCCAGATTCGCAATACCTGACTTGCCGCATGCAGAACTGCACGGATGCCAACAGAAATAGACCTTTCCCAGGCTACATTGACCCGGACTCCTTGATTGTGCAGGATGATTACGTGTTTGTTCAGGTGGGAAAGATCCACTTCTGCTGATTATCTCAAAGACCTTTTCCTCTTTCTGTCCCTCCTGCAGCCCCGCTTGTCTGCTTCCTCTCCCTTAGAGGAAAGGAAAAAAGAACAAAAAGCATTATCTTTTCAACAAAAGGAACATTACCAAGCATCAGCTCTCCTCTACTCGCAGAATATTAATGAGTTTCTTTGGGCAGTGTGTGGAGGACCTTATCAGCCTGGGTTAGGGGTCAGGGAGGCGCAGCTCAGAATGCTGTTCATCCGTCTCCTCTGCATGCTGAGGAGCTCCCAGCAGCCAGCAGCAGGGCTGAGCAGAAATGTCCATCTTTTCCTACCAGGAGGATGGCCAGCCCATCTCTCTCCTCCGCCTATCCAGTTTAAAAATAGAGAAGCAGCTAGGAAGAGGAAGCAGTGGGGTGGCGGGAGGTGGTGGGAGCAGAGGAAAGGTGATGGTAATCAGCCTTTATTGTCCTGCCCTGACTGTGATTAGGATGAAGATAATTTAGATGAGATGTATTCAGACAGGCTTGGCACCTCCTCAGAGGGTGGGAAACTGCTTGAGTAGCTGAGGTTTCATGAATGTTTAGAAGAGACAGGAAGCGAGAATGCTTTACTTTTCAGCTTTTAAGGAACTTCTTAGGCTTATTTGGAAAATGCTGCTAAAAATTCAATATTTCTTTCCATGTTAAAAATGGTAAAGATATAATTGCTAGCTAGTGTGTGAGAGTATGTGTGTGTATATACTCTCTCTAGATATATTCTATATATGTATATATGTATACCTACAAACACAAATACTTATGATTCACTAAGCTTGAACCACACTATTATATTTTAGAAAGAAACCATAATTTAGAATATTTAATTCAACAATTTGAGGAAGCAAATAAATATTCAAAATGCCTAACATCAGCCTATGTACTTTAAAAATGTCTCACAAATGATTACACACACACACACACACACACACACATTTTCTTTTTCTTCAGGGAAATGAGTAATGAGAACTCTGATAACTTCAGTCTGAATTATTAAGTGACATTGAAATGGTTACACACATTGGTTTTCTCTCTAATTTATTTCTCTCTTAGTGTTGCTTCCTGAAACTTTTTTTATGATTTCTAATAACTATTTATAATCTTCATATGTGTCTTACATATAAGAATCAGTTCTGCATTTAGAGTTTTTCATATTTTTTTACCCATGCCGCTGTGAATGATCCTTCAACTCATTACTAAAACTAGGAGGTGATCTGGCCACATATTGATGAATATTTTAGACATGTTTTTATATGTCTGGTGAACAGTCACCCAAAGTATATTTATGCAAACTCCAGCTGACATTCAAACTTCAGAAACTTATATGGGTTAAGAGTGGCTACAGGAACTCAAAAATAGAGTACATTAGTGATTTCCAGGGTCTAGGAAGTAGGGAAATGGGGAGATGTTGGTCAAGGATACAAACTTACAAATATATGATGACTAAGTTCTGGGATCTAATAGAGAGTATGGTGACTATACATAATAATACTGTATTACACACTTGAAAGTTGTTAAGAGCTTAAATGGTATCCACACACACATACAATAACCTTAATTAAGTGAAGGCATGGGAGTGTTAACTAACCTTATTTGTGGTCATTATTCTGTACAATATATATGTACCAAATCATCACATTTTGCATATCACTCTTATATATGTCAGTGATTTTCAACCTTTTTCATCTCGTTGCACACATAAACTAATTACTGCAATTCCATGACACAAAAAAATATATTTCTTGCGGACCTGATAAAAATTAGGTAAACTTATGATTCGTTCACTGTTGTGTTGGCTGTTGTCATTTTTTAATTTGAAAATCTAAGGGAAAAGATGTAAGTGCCCCTGACTAAATAGTCAGGTATTGCATATTTTTAAAATTTGGGGGATAGGCCGGTTGAAAATTGCTGGTAAATGTCAATAATATCTCAATAAAGCCTGGGGGGGCGGGGGCGAGTGACAACTAAGAGAGAGTTTGGCAGTGGCACCCTTAATAATCTGCAGGGAATGGTGCTCATGCTGAGGTAGAAACCACACCCTACTCACCCTCCCTCACACCCATGGGTTTCATTGGACTCCGTGCTGGACAAACTTGGGGAAGGTTGCTCAGAATCCATTCTCAGAGATAGAGATTTCTGAGCCATCTAACAAGTCAGCCCTGGTATGTGTTGGACATGTTCCCAGCTGTCAATGTCACAGCCACATACTGGAATCAGTGCCCAGAGATGTGGGTCCTAGACAGCTTCCTTCTGATATGACTGGGTACTGCCTGCATGGCCACAGTCTTGGGGCTGGATAGCTGGGCTGCTGATGGACATTGATCCAATATCCCTCAAGGCTTGTATCTTGAAAAGTTTACAATCACTGAAAATGTTTCCTGGCTTCTGAGCCACAGTGCAAATTGAAGAATTGTATTTTTGTCCAGTGGGTTCCATCTGGGCCTCTGACCAACTCACATGCACTGTTCAAGTTGTTTTTGGACGGAAAGCCAATTCCTTACACTTGTCCACGGTAACGATTCACACTGATGTGTTGGCAGCGACCTCCTCTTGTTCAGTGGCTGTTCTTCCAGGGCCCGTAACTGTTAACAGTAGCTCCTCTTACAACTGTGTGTTTCTGGTCCAGCTGACATCTGGAGGACGGCCGCATTACTACGTGTCCTACCAAAGGAATGCCTTTGCCCAGATGAAGCTGCCCAAGTACGCTCTGCCCAAGGTATGACCTGAATCTTCTTCATTTTAGTGTTTTCTCCGATTCACATAGCGCTGTCACCACCCTCTTTCCTAAGCATCTTGTCATGTATTTCTTTTCATCTATCATCTCTGTTTCTCAAATTCACTTGGCCTCTCTCTCTCTCTCTCTCTCTCTCTCTCTCTCTCTCTCTCTCTCTCTTTTTCTCATTCTTTTTATAGGAGCATCTGAATAAATAAATTGATAACATATTTGCTTTTCAATAGTAAAGATTTTCAAGCAGTAGGTATTGGTTTTCTAGCAAAACAGAAAATACACTTGGGATACACAGTGTTTCAATGCAATGGGTATATGTTTCTATCTCAAATTTTTTCTTATTAACCCTTTGCACTCCGAACCATTCTGGACATTGGCTACCAGCTACTCGACGCTACTTTGCAGTGGACACGTGCGTTGAATTAACTCAATTCCCCGTAATCACTAATAAACTGCAATGTCCCCCCTGAGAGGGGACATCCAAGTGATATGCTAGAATTCCGATGTCCCTTGAGAGGGGACAGCAGAGTGCAAAGGGTTAATTATTGAGAGGTGACACACCTATATGGTATCCAGCCTTTGCTTTCTCTTTCCATGAAACTTGAGACAGGTTGTCTTTAGAGTTCTGAGTCACAGCCAATTTTTCAGACTCCCACAAAGATACACGCCTTTCTAAACAGTGACTGATACGAGTTAGAGACCCTCAACTGTGGCAGTCCCTGGCTCTCTCCACACACTCTGAGGAACTGCGTTAATATGGAGCACCACCTAGTGGAGGTCAAGCTGACTTGGGAGCTCAAAGCTTCAGATCTGTGGTCTTGCTGCCATTGTGTGTACGAAGAGTTGCCATAAACTGTTAATGCATTGGACCTTGATTTTAGAGCAACAGAGATGTGTGTGGCTGGAAGACAGGGGCTGTGTAAATATAGTTACAGATCAGCTTTGAAACCTTTGTGTTGAACAAAGTACATAAAGCACTTTCTTTTGATGGAGTTGTTATGACTTGTGTTTTTCACCCCTGACTTTGTAGTATGCTTGTCTTGACCTAACACCAGCACGCTGCCCAGGAAGTCAGGTGACAGATATAACACACAAGGGCATAGCAGAGCTCCTCTTCTAGGAGAGCTAATGGTAGCTAGCTGCTCTGGCTTCTCCAGGCAGAATTCTCCCTTCTGGCCATCACTCTGTCCTCAACCCTAGCATCGTGAAAGGTGAGCTGTAAACCTCAGCCCATTAGAGATAATAATACACATTAAATTGCTCTATTAACTGCAAAGAACTATATTCATGTTAGTAGTTATTATGTTCAGCCTCTAAGAGATTCATGACAGTGGTAATTGCCCAGAACTAACTATATGTCTCTACCTGTGTACATTTAAATCCTCCTTGCTCTTGACTTGGCTTAAAATTGTTACCAAAGAGACAAGAGCTTAGAGCCGTAGGGTGTGCCTACATGAGAATTGGGTAAAGTTAGTATGGAAAGGGAAACTGAGTGTTGTTAAAATTTCCTTTGATAAACTCTTAGAAAGGTCTTTGGGAAAGGTGAACATGGTACCTCACTACGTCCAACAGACCTGGTTTTTCTGTCTCTTGAGCATGGAAATAAATTGTTGTTTATTTGATTGACCAGCAAATCAGTTGGCTTACAATATTTCAACACCTTTAAAGAGGAGAAGTATACTCAATGCAATACAAAGAATTATACCCTTGTTCAAAATGTATGAGGGAATTGGGACAAAATTAGTAAATAGATTCAAGTCACTCATCTCATGCTCACCATTAGAATTACATTTTTTAAGTAGAATAAGTCTCAGCCAAACTAAATTTTATTTGAAGCAGTATTAGCGCTTAAGTCTCCACCAGACTCCCAAACTAGCATTCTTTGTATTATACTTTTCTTTTCTTGGGATAAGTCATTATATCCTATTATTAGAAGATAGTCATATCGCCCCAAATTTTGATAAGCTGAGGACACCACGAAAAATATTCCCATTGACCCGAGGACCCCCAGGAATGGTAGTTTAAAGTCAAAGAAACATCCTTGCACCTATTGGAGAATGTGAGGAAACACACATCTTGCATTTCTCAGGCAGAGCCATCACGCAGATCACTGATAACAGTTGCCCCTGGTGGCATGGAGCCAATCTAGAAGGACACATTTGACTTTACACCTGAATCACCAACTGTCTTTCCCCCTCCCCTGTTCTCCCACGTGAGCCTGTCCCATTACTCAGGCTTCTCTGAGCTCTGAGGGTAGAAGGCAGTGATTAATTTAGCTCGTCTTCATATAGTATGTATAGCAAATGAATGTATCCTTTGGTCCAAGTGGATGTGTACTATTTAAGGCAATGAGATGCCTCATTACAGTCCCATTACCTCTTCAAAGAACCCGCTTGGTGGAGTGATCCGCAATGAAGATGCGGATATGTTAAGGCCCTCTCTCAAAGGCCTGCTGTGGCTGGAAATGAACAAAGCTTTGTGTCCCCCAAAGCAATTGAGACAAACCAGCACTTTCCTGCTCAAATTTTCTTTAATCATCCACTGCCATTGTATCAGTTCTTGAAACACCATAGTTACATGGAGCTGTGTCAAAAACACACACACGCAGATTGAATATAATGGTAACGATGACCAGAGAGGGGGAGGGGGAGAGTCTAATATCACTGTCACCGTTAGCGCATGAGTCTCACCAGACAGGAAGAGACACTGACAGTTTCCTTCCCTTAACTTACTGGGAGCTCATTCGGAGCTACTCAAGTGAGATAAATGAGGCAATACATATGAAAGTGCTCTGAGCATTTCGGAGGACAGATACTCTATAAAAGCTAGGTAATATTATTATTAGTATGGATCTAGTTGTCTGTGTGGTAGAAGATCGATGCAGACTGGGATATGGGTTGTGCAAAGGCTGTTCGATTCACAGCAGGAGAACAGAATTCCAGACTTACATCTGCCACGATCCTGCTTTGAAACCTGGGTTGGTTTACCAATTTCTCTTGCCCTGTTTTTGTTTGTGTTCTTTTTTACTCCTTATTTTAAATATAAGGAGTTTGGACTCAAGACCATATGTTCTCACATGTGATACTCAGCATAAAATATCCTTAGAGATGATTCATGAAAATTTGATCCTATGACCAAATACACTTAAAAAAAAAAAAAAACATATATATATATATATATATATATATATATATATATATATATATATATATATATATATATATGTTCTTTGTTCCTTGACTGGAAAGTAATAGTAGCTAGCTGGTATGTTGAAGGCTCTAGGTCTAGGACGTCTTATGAACAAGAAACCCATATAATTCAGAATTAATTAAACCATTTTAATAAAAGACCCATTTTTTAATGTATTAAAAATCTAACAATGCAACTGGTACTTTCCTATGGAACAGACTTTGGGAAAGGCTGTAGTAGAAGATCTCAAGGATCACTTCTAGATCTGTAATTCTGTGGTCCAGGAAAAGCATTCAACATAACTTGCTACCAGGTATAAAGAGTAAAAGAGCATGTTTTCCTGATAGAAGAGGTGGATGTAGGCAAGAAGAAATAATAAAGACATCAGTTAAATTTGTAAAATCTTCCAATTAAAATATTTAAGACCAACATCATTTCAATTTTTTTTTCCAAAGGCCCTGGCAATGCAGCTCAGTAGGTTGAGCATCACCCCATGCACTGAAAGGTCACCTGTTAGAATCCTGGTCAGGGCATATACCTAGGTTGTGGGTTCATTCCCTAGTCAGGGTGTGTACACAAGGCAATCAGTCAACGATTCTCTCTCACATTGATGCTTATCTCTCTTCCTTTCCCTTCCTCCCTCTCAAAAAATAAAAACATATATTTCTTAAATTGTTCAGTGTATGTAATTAGATTATATGGAGAGAAAGACATCTCATCTTGGTCCTTATTCAGAGGTAGCCACTTTAATCTGCTGTTATTATCTGCTATGATTATATGACTAGTACCCTGAGTGACATAAACACTTCATATGTCTACATCCAAAAACTGAAGGTTCAAGTGTGTGGCATAGTATAAAGGATGTACTGTAAGCCCTGGGATTATTTAATGAGATTTCTCTTGTGTCCGAGACTTCAGAGGTGCACCAATGCACACCTTGACTCCAAAAGAACAGGAAATACTTTTTTAGGGGCCAGATTATTGCAGAAGTACCTTAACTTGAATGGAGAGATGATACTACACGGTATTCCACTGACAATGAAGGGGACCTGGATGGGGAGTAGTTATTGAGTATTCTAAATGCCAGGGTAAGCCTTCTGATCTTTATCCTATAGGAAATGGGGAGCCATGGAAGGTTTTGCTCTCCATGGTTGACTGGCCCGTGTATAATTTCCACAGCTAATTCCCTCCATTGGAGAGCAACAAAACCCTTGGGTGAACCAATTTTTGTAGAGTATGTTAGTGAGCACCCTAGCATTGGCTGTGAACAGGAAGGCACATGGATCTTGGTTAATTAACAAAGGGGATGTAAGGGCTTTTTTTAACTGAAAATCGCTAGCAAGTGGAGCAGATATTCAATCCTTTGAACCCCCTAGCTGATATAATCACCCCTCTCCCCACCCCCCTGTCCATGGAAGGCCCAAGAGAACTCCTGAGTCACAGATTTTAGTTCACAGTTAAGTTACAGAGCCCGTATTTGGACTCCAGCAGTTTATTTCAGAGTCCACTTTTAAAAATCATTTTGTTCTATTGTCCTCTTGAACCAAAAACTTTATAGGTGGGGCAGGCTGTTAAGCTGTCCATATTCAAAGATAAAGAATGTCACAAAATTTGGCCTCTTCTCTACCTTTCTCGACTATTTTTTCAGGATTGACTTCATCTTCTACCTCAAAGTATGTCATCAGATCTAGACTTTAGAAAATTCTTACTGTTTGCAAACCAATAGTAAGAGATGCTTTCCCCCCACTCTAATAATTCCAGATTCATGTGTTATTGATTTTGCTAAGGTTATGTATTCAACACTGATCCAATTGCTATCATCGGGGAAATTAGATATTCTGAATGCTGGGCCTACAAACCCACTTCTGGCCCTGAGGGTGAAAGAAAATAACAGAGACTGGGTTAAGGAGGAATTTGTCTGAGAGGGATGAGGATATTTTTCAAAGTAGATTGAGATAGTTATCAGGAGAAATATAAATAGACATTGGACAGATATACACAACGGCCCACTTTTATTCCAAAATTTAGTTTGTGTTGTTGGTTACATTGATTCAATGGGAAGGATTTATTTTGGCCTTCCCACTCTGGGTTAATTCTACAAAAGCTTTACCCAGCTCTAGGCCTGAGGAATACAAAGTCCTATAGATAAAGACTTCTTCCTTCTGGGATCATTTGAGTTCATTTTGATCAAGGCTGAAAAAGAGGGAGTCATTTATTCCTCTACGTCTAAAGCACAGTCAGAGCTGAATTGCTGATGGATTGAATGATTGGTTGATTGATTGAGAGAAAGTCAGGTTAGAAGGAAGGTAGAGTTTTGCTGTACTGGACTTTTGACCAAGGAAGATTGACAGATCTCCTGAAGCTTTTCAAGGGTAGAAGAAGGTTAATCTGGGAAAGCTTGAGTACGAAGCTACACAAAGGCCAAGAATCTTTCCTTGTTGTTCTATCTTTGTGCTTATGTATAATGTGTTTTTTTGCTTTGCTTTTTGTTTTTTGAAAGTTATATCAATGTCTACCACCTTAAGCAAACAGCACATAGACAGACATCTCCTAAGGAGACAGCAAGTGTTGGTCTGTATCTACTTTTCTCTGAATATCCACATCTCTGGAGTTCTCAATAGGGGAAGAAGGAATTGAAATTCCCACCCAGGGAATTTCTGCTCATTGCCCCCACATTACCTTTGCCTTCTTTTTATCTTCCAGGACTACTAGGGTTTGAAAACATCATCAATTATGCAGACTCTCTCTCTCTCTCTCTCTTTCTTTCCTTTATACTTAAGGTTTCCTGCTGAGCTCAGAGTAAAGGTTTAGATAAGCAGCTAAGTCCTAGAACACACATTAACATGAAGATTAGTGCTTTGCTTTCTGGGGTGAACATTATTCCTCAAAGGCTTCTGGGGGTTGCTGAACCTTTGGGCAGTGCTTCTCAATTTTTATTGTGCATATTAATCACCCATGGAACTTATTAAAATGCAGATTTTGATTCAATAAGTGAAACTTGAAGTTCTGTGTGTCTAACACACTTGTTGCCTGTACTGGTTCATGGACCACACTGGGATATGCAGAACTTGCCAGGATTCTCTCTGTTCCTCCAGATTTTTATGAAGGAATGTACCCCATATAATACTTCTGAGCTTGCACCATGTTGTGTTTTGCAAATATATCAGAATGACTGATTCTCCAAAGTCATACATATTTGGGAAAGTATTCTTCAATTATCTAATGAGACAATTAAATTATAACTGAGCTACGAAGCATCTCTCTTTCCTATTTTCTCATGACCCTGCTGCCTAACCCCATACAAGAGGAAGGAAATTCATGAATAACACTTAACTAATTAATTATTACATCACAATTACGTGAAAGGAAAATATCTACCTTTCCCTTATGGTTGCCTAAGTGCCTATTTTAGTATTCCTCATTATTCTATGCTGTTTGGATGCATGTCAGGTTCATTTATAAAATCCTTCCTCTTCACTTTCCTGTGTTTTATTTAGGACATGCACGTCATCAGCACAGATGAGAATCAAGTGTTTGCAGCGGTCCAAGAATGGAACCAAAACGACACCTACAACCTCTACATCTCAGACACCAGGGGTGTCTACTTCACCTTGGCTTTGGAGAATGTCCAGAGTAGCAGAGGCCCTGAGGGCAATATCATGATCGACCTTTATGAGGTATGTCACAGGCACATGTAGTCCTGAGCCACTCCAGTGCCTGGACTGGCTGATGAAGGCCCAACACTGGCTCTTCCCTCCATCATTTTTGATATGAGCAAATTATGTGGCCTCATTCTATTTGGGAGAGGGAGTGAGTTGCAGAACATTTGTAATGCAATCCTCAGAACAGTTCTGGGAAGGACCTTTTGTTCACCAAGTTCACAGGCCAAGAAGCCCTAGAAGACTTGGAGACCATCAGGGGAAGCAGTGAAGCAATTAAAGGGTTTGAATAAGAGCCTAATGGTGTTGTCTGTCAGTGGTTGTATGTCAACATATGAACCAGGAGGTCACAGTTTTGATTCCTAGTCAGGGCACTTGCCTCAGTTATGGGCTTGTTACCCAGTAGGGCGCATGCAGAAGGCAATTGATCACTGATTCTCTCTCATCATTGATGTTTCTCTCTCGCTCTCTCTCTTCCATCCTTTCTGAAATCAATAAAAAAATACATATATGTTTAAAAAGAAGGATTTGAACAAGATTCACAGAGCATGCAATATGAAAATAGTCTTGAAAGGCCAGCAGGGTGTCAGGATGTAGAGCAAAGGGGACAGTGGTCCCTTTTCTCTGTCTGAGGAAAGGAAAGGAGGAGACACCTTTGCTTTGCATCAGAAGCCACTCCCTTGGACTTGAACACCTTTCTCACTAGATAACCTCCACTGGCTAACTGCCCACCTCTCAGAGGAACAGTGAGTGAGATAAGATTAATAGGTCTTTCTTTCCTAAATAATGGATTGAGGGGGACAGAGCAGAGTATCCCAGTCCTCCTTAAGGGAACCTGGGCCCTTTGTTTGTCAAAATGACCAAGATTGAAAATAAAAACCTATATGTTGGATCAGTTAGCTTTTATGGCAAACAACAATGCTCTAATGGCCATTTAAGGCACAGTTAGGTAGAAAGAAAGCTGCTATTTTGGGATGGATTTTAGCCATTTGTCAGTCTTATCTTGTGCTATGAATGATTTATAATGGATTATAATGACCCATTTAGAAACACATTTAGAATGTGGGGTGTTTAATCATATACCTATATTCTATGTGAAAAATATTCTCAAACTGATTCAACTATGTGCAGTCATTATGATGCTATTGTTTGGCTGACTATCAGCTCTGAAGGTCAAAGGGCTGTATAAGGAGAAATGCGTATCCAGTATGTCAAAGATATAAACCAATGTCCCTGAAGAAATTTAAATGTATCATTTTAATTTTCTGAATGCTGTCTATACTCATTCTTTTCTAGGAGTTCTTAGGGATTTTCTTCCAGTAGTTAAACTTCTCTGTATGTACAAAGGCATGATAACACAGTATATGCCAAATTCAGAGTCCAGGGATTTTTTCATGGAAATTGTGGTAGACTAGCATTGAGTCTAGGGTGTGTATATCTTTAGAAAAACACTCTGCAAACTTTTTTTTTTTATATATATTCACAAGTTTCTTCCACTTCCTTTTCTGCTTATGTTCCAGATAAATATAGTATCATAAATCTCAGCCTCAAACTAAACATGTATTTGGGAAAACATTTACATTTTCTGGTGATTTAGTTTCAAATTACTATTGGATAGAATTGTGACTTGGAGTATAAATGCTGGAGTCAGGTTTTCTGGGTTTAAATCCTAGCTATATCACAGATATGTATTCTTGACACATATCCAGTAAATTCTGATACTCAGTTTCCTTACTGAAAAAATGGAGATAAATAGGGTGCCTACTTGACAGGGTTTCTCTAAGGATTAAACAAGTTAATCTTCTTGAAGTACTGTGAACAGTGCCTAAAATACTCAACAAATTACAGATAGCATAATTAATATTATGTTCAAATGAGTTTGAGCCCCAGTATAATGTCCTATTTTTAAAATCTGCCCACATTGTTTAAATGTCTAACACATTTCCACTGTGTCAGATCTCTACTTCTTCCCATATTGCAATTAGCATGGCCATATGACATTCTTTAACACCAACTAGCTGTCTCCTTATAAACAAGTGTAAATTGCTACATTTCTTTCCTCATTTGTAAATGTCTTATAAACATTTCAACTTTAAGGGTGTTGCATTGAAATGCCATGTGTTGTCTTGCTTTGATCCAGCACTTGCAATGGAAAGATCTTGCTCCATGTGTGGCATTTGCTGGTTTGAAGTCAAAGCTGCTTGATTCCTTGATCTTGTCTGTGTCCTGGGTCTTTCTCCCCCCTCCCTTCACCCCCCCCCCCCCAAAAAAAAACAAAAAAACAAACACACATACATTTTCTGAAACATCAGTATTTGGGATTGTATTTGATTGTGACTAAGGGATGGATTATTTTCTTTCTCATTATCTCCTCCCCTCTCCTCAACTCAACATGGAAAATTTTCTCTGGACAAATTTTGTTTTCTTCCAAAATAGAAACCATTTTAATTGGTCCCTTGATGATAGAAAAGATGACAGGATTGGACAGGAATGATTTTGCAATGTCCTGTTATTTTAATCCAATGTTGTTTTCTCATGTGGTTTTCTGAATGTAAACATCACTGATACAGGTACAGAATGAGAAGAAGAAACTGGGTGACCTCTAGCCATAGCAACCATTCTTTGGTAATTCCTTGTATTTCCCCTTGTGTCTCTTGCAGTTGACTCTCTGTAGAGGATCTGCTGGCTCTTATTAGTGTCACTGGGAGCAGTGGGGTGACTGCATTATGTAAAGGTATTCTGCATCCTGGGGCTGGGAAGAAGAGTCTTTCTTTTATTAACCTAGTTCAATGCAACTTGAATTGAAATTGATGTGATCAGAATGGCAGTGCCAGATCTTCTGATTACCTAGATAGAAGGAATATTGGCTGACACAGAACCTGGCACCAGTGTTCCTTCAATGTGATTGTTCTGGCTAGCAAGAGCTGAGAACCAACCAGCATGAATTCCCCAATAGAATTACAATGAATGATGAGCAATTAAAGATAAATGAAAAGTCAGAAAATCCATAGCTGATTTAAAAAGAAGCAGAGATGAGCAGCATGGGAGGTGATGGGTGATAGAGAATACTAGTACATGTCTGCTCATCACTGGGGGTAACTGTGGTAACTTGGTATGTGTTCTTTATATGCCTGCCAATTACCTGCTAGTCCTGTGTTTGTATGCTCTGTAAGCTATATAGTTTAGCAGAGGGAAACTATAATGTGAGGTGTATGACGAGTCTGTGTATCAAGGATATGTATTGTTGATGAGACTTTGTGGGAAATGCAGAAGGAAGCACAGTTCTGATGAAAATTAATCATTCTATTCCCACACACATCGGACCCTTGTGACAAATGCAGTTCTCTCTACACTAGAAAATGTGTATGTGATGAGATAAGAGATAGGGAAATGTTGGGAACAAAGTGTTGTGGGGAGACAGATTATATGGTTTAGTTATGGAATCACCAGACATTTCCCTCAGTATGAGTTATTTATTGAACTTGGACCGCATTCAAGAGAATCAATAAACATGAGCCATTGGCTACAGAGCAAGAGTACTAGAAACATATTTTTGTTAATGAAAGAGCATAATAATAATAATAATAATAGCTAATATTTTGGATGCCATTATGTGCCAAGCACTATGTAAAAAACCATCAGTGAATATTTCATTCAATTCATATATTAGGGACTATAATTACTCCCATTTCACACATAAGTAAATGCAGGCAGGGAGAGTACAATCATTGTTGCAAGATTGCAAAGATAGTAAGTGGTGGATTTAGGATCTGAAGCCTACAGTATGCAAACTCTTAACTACAAACCATTTTGTGTCTCTGGAAACATCACTATTTGCGATTGTGTTTGATTGGGACCAAGTAAAAGCTGAAAGATAGAAGGACATGGGAGGGCAGGATGACTAGTATGGGACTTAGCAGTAGAAGAAATTAGTCTGGAAAAAGGAAGTGGTTTGGGGAAAAGCCAACATAAACAGAATGAGCAGATGATTGCTCCAGACCTGCTCACTACCTTCTCAACCAAGTCCAGAGCCTGCAACAGTAGCTAAATTCATAGTGTTATAACATGGCCCCAGTGTTGTCTGGTGATGTGTTTGTGTAAAAGAAGCCTAGAAACAAGTGTCTTCAAATCCTGTCATTCATGAAGAGCACAGCGCTCCCATGGCACCATGCAGGGAGGCTAAGAGAAGACAGTGTGCCTGATGGTGGTCAGAGCAAGAGCTGTGACGAGTGAGTCTGCGACGTGTGGTTCCTAGTGGGTTCATCTGGTGTGTTTGATGAGACGGAGTCTGACAGCTTTAGTCAAGATCCTTCCTCCTCGGGGAAGGAAATATTAATTAATGATGATGAAGAGCACTTTGGCTTAATGGACAATGACAGTCCACCCAGTCAAGTGGAAAGGTTTGTGTTGGCAGTCAAGCCACCTGGCCAGCAAATTCAGAATGCCCAGAATGTGTGCGCACATGAGTGAGCCACATGGGGTGCCATGACAGACACTGTGCGTGTTCCCTTAAGCACATAGGGTCTTCTCCACGTTATGGGTGTCCTCTCTTTCAAAGAGAAAGCTCCACAGTTATGGGGGTGGAGCTAATCTTGTGATTTTTTAGGGAAAGACTGCCTCATACAATCCAGCATAGGAAGTGGGAAAGAAAAAAGCTGTCCCATCCAGAACATGTTTATTACAGGACATGGAATGTGCCATAAAATTATTGAAGGTGATTGTCTCACTGGGAGGGGAGTGCTGTCTGATCAAGGCATGGGCCGGGGGTGGGGGGGGTGGCAATTAGATTTTTTTGACAATGGGTTCTCTGATGGCAGAGGCACTCCTGTTCCTGCTAACTCTGTCTCTCCTGGACCCTCTCTTCAGAACGAAAACATAGCCTATCCTCAAAGACCAAAAGATCAAGGTCATGAATATGTTCTTTTTCTTGTCACAGGTTATGATTCATCTTTTTCATTTTCTTCACATGTTGACCCTTTGGATTTGTAATTTCAGTCAGAGTCAGATTGTGTGGGAGGAAGTATCTCCCAATCAGCATCAGAGGCAGAAAAGAGCAAAAGCTTTTGTGCAAGAATCTTCCCAACTTAGCCTCCACATGCAGCATGTGAAAGATTGGGACCAGAAAGGACCCTATGGTGGTAACTAAGACAAATAAAAGGAGAAAACTGGCTTCTTCCATTGAAAGACCAAAGAAACCCAAGCCTTGCATACTGTAACTCTCAAAAAAGGTCTCTTAAATGAATATGTAATGGTTTAGACACCCTGGGTTCTATGTCCCCAGTACTTATAAGAATGCATGATAAATAGGAGCTCAAAAACATTTACTGAGCAACTTTTGAGTAAATGTACTACTGAGTGAATAAAAGACAGCTTCCTATAAGTGTGATACCCATAGGTGGCATTTCCCTCTGAATGATCTGGGTTGAGAGGGAAGTTGGAAGAAATAGTACAGGTAAGTGTATAGGTTCTAGCGTTAGACTGACTTGGAGTCCAGTTCTAAGATTCTCTAGGGAATGACTTTAGCCAAGTGACTGGCCACATTAAAACATTGTTTTTCTCCTCTGGAAAGTGGGGATAACATTGACTCTACCTCTTAGAATGCATGGGCAAACTGATGCTCATGCTTGCAAAGCCTTTCATGCAATGCCTACCATTTCCTAAGTACTTATTTAACCTGGGGTGCTGTTATTGTGGTTATAGCTTCCAATGCAGAATTGTGATTACCTGCTCCATTCAGAACAAAACCAGGACTTGCAGACACGTCCAAAGAGGCAAACAATCCAAACACACCTCACATGGGACTTCCATGGAGCAGGTGCCTCGGCCATGGGACAGAGATAAGCAGACCCTCTCCTGATCTATCCCCTCTTGTCACACTATCCCTGGGTTTGCCCAGTTTTTATTCCTCAGGATAATCCTGAAGGCCAGGCTGCCAGAGATGAGTTACAAAGCGCAGCTCTCAGCTCCAGTGGCCTTTGATAATGCCAAGCAGTTGGGGGCCAATAAAGTCACCGCTTTGCAAAGCAAATGAACCTGCTGCTAAATGTACAGAGTCCTGCTCTGACCAGAAGAGGGGGAGCAGCTGAGGAAGGGGAATGGGCAATGAAACTCGTGGAAGAGGCAATATTTCTATCCCCTCTGCACCTGTTGTAACCTCCTCGCGTGTCTGATGGGTAGGACAGCGCCATTTCTCCTATAGGGGTAGGCTGAGGAGGAAAGATCAGTGCGACTTTGTGAAAATTCTGATATATGACATTTAATTTTTAAAGAACTAGCAGGTTAGCTCTATTGAAATATGTAGCAGCCTCCGGAACATATGCAAAACCAATATGGGTTTCCCCAGTGTGTCACCCTTCAAGAGCTGATATAGTGAGTGGATAAGGAAATGCTATTTGTAATTCACATGCCATTGTTGGGGGTCAGTGCTTCCCGAGTGCAGGCCTCCCACACTGTGGAGGGTTCAAGAAGCTGCTCTGGCGGCTGCTGGTTGCCCCCAGTGAGGCTTGTTCCCCAAAGTAGTTCAAAGCATTCCTACTGGGCACTCATTTCCGTTATTTACTTACTTAACACCCTTGTCTTCCAAAAGTATATGAAGTTGGCCCAACTCTACATTACCCCAGATGCCAGACCAGCAGGCACAAGCTAATGAGGTTTGAATGTGTCAAAAGCAAAGGCAAACCCTGGATCCCCTATTGATTAAAACCAAGCCTCTTAGAACAGACAAATTCAGAGCTGTAGTTGTTGGAAGAACAGTGGAAGTGAGAAAATTCGGGTGGGAGTGAACCCTAGCTGTGTTATCTTAGACCACTGATTTTTGTTTATACCTCAGTTTCCCCATCCTTAGAATGGGTATAATAGCTGTGGTTGCAGGTTTGCAGTGAATATCGAAGGTTTTTTTTATGTATAAAGTTCTGAACATACTTCTTGGTGTGTGGTAAGGATCATGATTGCTGTATTTGTCTGCCTAAAACTTTTATAAGTTAATATAAAGGGCCTGAGATAAATGAAATGGGCTCAAATATGCCCATGAGCTTATTCACTTCATCCCTGTCTGTTCTACAGAAAGCCAGTTAATCTAAGTTTGTTTCCTTATCCTCAACATGTGAGTAATGCCTATATGTTCTGCTTACTGAGAGTTAAGAGAGATCACCTATGTATAGCATTGGAATGCACAATTTAACATATCTCAGGCCCTTTCCTCACTGCCCTCCAGTTTTCCTGGGTGGTCATAATTCCAAGCAGGGTAAAATATGCATGAAGGTGTTTAATAAACCCCAAAACACCCAAAGATAGAATGCATCCTTAATGATTTACTAGAGCAGTTTGGGCAACTTACCAGTTGTTACCTCTTTTGTAGCTTATAGAACAGAGAAGGCAGTCCTATTATCAGAGCCAAATAATTAATAAGGACTCTTTATGATGGGAACAACAGTGTTATGGGCATGGAGGAGGGATTAGTCAACAATGTAGGGAGATTATTACCTCTTTAAGTTTAAGAGCAGTTATCTTTTGCTCAGTGTTTTTTGGTGTCTTAGTAGAGCAATTTTTTACAAGAAAAAGAAAAAGTAATTGGATCATTAGCTTTCGCTGACCTCTTCTAACTGCCCACGGCTCTAGAGAGCACCATGAATTAGATAGTTCTTAAGAGCATGGGCTGTGCAGACACAGAGCTGTGGGTTGAAATCCCAGCCACTTACTATCCTGTGTGCCCAGTGTTTCCTTTGGCTGTGTGACCTTGGGCAACTCACTTAACATGGATGAGCTTCAGTTTCCCCACATGTAACATATAATAAGTGATACTTACCCAAGAGAACTGTTACAAGATTGAAATGAAATAACGTATTTAAGACTGGTTGCTGGGGGTAACACATAAAATAAAAATCGCCTCTATTTATTGATCACTTGTTGGATAGCAAAACTGAAAGCACCAGAGTTTATCTCTAAGCACGCTACTACTAACCTACCTTCCGGGCAATAAAAATTCTCTGTCACATTTGCATTATCCCCCCCCTCCCACGCCATACCATAGGGGCCCAGGTCTGCTGCTTTCTGCCCCACTGTCCACGGAGTCATTATACTCAATCATCACCCCCTCCATCTACCATCCTCACCCTCTCTTTCCTCTAAGACAAGTGCTCACTGCTGAATTAAACAGTCTGGCTCTGTTCTTTTCAGTAAACAAATACATCTCTTCTCAAACAGATGGATTTTTCAGCCATGTCCATTTTTCCCAGGTAGCAGGGATAAAGGGGATGTTCTTGGCTAACAAGAAGATTGACAACCAAGTGAAGACGTTCATCACCTATAACAAGGGCAGAGACTGGCATTTGCTGCAGGCGCCGGACACGGACTTAAGGGGGGACCCTGTGCACTGCTTACTGGTGAGTCTTCATATCGGGGCAGAATGTTCCAGTAGGTGGGGGCTGGAAATGTGTGTTAACACACAGATGGAGGTGATTCCAGGGTTCCTTGCTTAGATGCAGAACCAAAGGGGTCAGGGACAGGCATGTAGGAGAGTCAGTGGACTGCCTTTCGAGATGGAACAAAGAGATCAGAGAATAGCAGAACATTTCTTACTTCCAAGAATGTTCAGCTGTGTCTCGAATTCTGATGAGGACCTTACATTGTAGTTTAAGGGAGAATATGATACCGTGTATCCCTGAAAATAAGACATCCTCCGAAAATAAGATCTAGCATATGGAAAGATAAGACATCCCCTGAAAATAAGACCTAGTGCAACTTTGGGAGAAAAAATTAATATAAGACACTGTCTTATTTTCGGGGAAACAGGGTAGTTTCTACTGTGTTGGGGAGATACACCTTTAATTTCCTGTGAAAAACTTATTACAGATCAAATGGCACATACATTCTGCTGTAGAATTGATGAACTGAATGCAAAATTTTGTAGTCGTATTTTCTAGAGGAAATGCTTATTCATATTTTCAGAGGAGTTGATGCCTCAAACAAGGGTAAGAACTACCGGTCTGAACTTTAATTGGAACTCTTTATGATATGTGCCTTTCATTTATGTTGAATTATATAAAGTTGGTTATGGCAAACAATGGACTGTGGGGCAAATATGGCATACCACTTTTTTTTTAAATAAAGTTTTATCCTTATTCATGTATATATTTCCTGTGTGCTACAATGGCTGAATTCAGTAGCCATATCAGGACTGTATAGTCCACCAAGCCTAATATACTTATTATTTTAAAAATAATTTAAGAATATTTGCTTTCCCCCACTCTGAAGTACAGCACTCTCTTCATTACGTAGCATTTGAGGAATAAGTAGATCTGCATGAACTTATTTATAATTTGATTATATGTTGGGGTCTGAGAGAGGGATCAAAAATGGGTGCTGCCTCCATAGAGTGTGAGGTCTGTTTGAAAGGGACTAGACTAATAAATGAAAGATTATAGGGTTACATTTCACTCCCCTCTGTGGTTCTGGTGCCTGCCCCATACTTCACTCAGGAATGGGTACTGAGTGAATGAAGAGATTATTTGCCAAAATGTATAATCAAATGCTAACATCTTTAAAACAATCCAGAAGTTTTATTTACACACACACACACACACACACACACACACACGATAAAAGACCAGTATGTTAAGCTGGAGGAAAGACCTCTTAGTTTTAGTAAGAGCTTGGAGTGTGTGTGTGTGTGTGTGTGTGTGTGTGTGTGTGTGTATCAGTATTCACAGTCATCATACAATTCTGACTTGGCGTTATCCACACTCAGCTTGCTTCTTTGTGACCCATGAAGTCGGAACAGCCACTTTGCGGGTTCATCTCATGTAGCTGTAGGCAGGTCACCTCCTTCTCGAGAAGATGCCAGCAGCCATAGCGTGACCTTATTAGTTGCAGAGCATATCACAGTTGTCACTGTGCATCAGGAAAGCGGGCTGCGATTCAGCCTCCCACTCAGCTTCTTTCCTTAGAACTGGCATCTTGGGGAGGGAGTGGAAGCCCGTGGTGATAGAGAGTGCACAAAGCCAGTGACAGAGTAAGTAAAAGGGACAGTTATCACTGAATACCTTCTCTCTGTGAGGCAGAGTTCAGCAGCATTTTGAAAAACAGGGCCACCTTGCTAGTTTAACTATGGCAAGTTGGAGCACAGTGATACTTTGCCCAAGATGCATGGCTTGCACCATCACCTTAATGTGATCCGCTCTCCTTCCGTGCATATTGGAGATTAAATGTCCATGAGGGAATTAGCCATGTCATATGAAGAGGCTTTCCTGGGTCTTCTGGTGTCATAAATGAACCATTAGAAATGCCTCTTCCTCAAAGCACTTGGCAAGGTGTTCCCTGCTCCATCACCGTCCCAGTGGTAGGAAGTCTTATTGCTTTGCCCCCAAATATAAGTGCTGAGACCATCCTCAGACAAGCCATCATGACTTCTACTATCCCTACAGTGACAGGCCCTTAACTGCTCCTCCTGTCTCAACTGGGCAGTCTTCTGTGTGAGTGTGTGTGTGTGTGTGTGTGTGTGTGTGTGTGTATTTAATCCAACTTTATTGAGTTAAAACATACATACATAAAAAGTACCCATTTTAAGAATGTATTGTACTTTGATGAATCTTGACAAATTATATACCCATGTCACCATTACCCCATCAAGATAGAACATTTCCATAACCTCCCCAAATTCATTTATTTTCACTTTGCAATCAATATCCACACTTCTAGCCCTAGACAACCACTAACCGCTCTCCTTTATGATAGGGTTTTCTTTCCTAAAATTTTATGTAAATGGGATCAACTTGAGCTTGAAAAATTCAGATCATGTCTCTCTTTTAGTTAAACCTTCTATGACTAATTCAGGTCAAATGAAATGCAAATACTTTCCTTAGCAAGTATTCCTACAAGGTCCCATGTGGTCTGACCTCTCTCTACTTTTCCTGCCTGGTCCTAGGCCTCTCTCCCTTTCCTTCCTTACACAGAAACCATGGAAGGGAGGAACTTACCTGTTCCCCTACCATTAACTTACAGTGCTCATTCATGTCTCAGACTGTGCATTTATCATTAGTTTTCTCAAAATGTCCTTTTTCTAGTCTGGCTTTTTCTTTTTCTTTTTTTTTTTTAATATATTTTATTTTAGAGAGGAAGGAAGAGGGAAAGAGAGACTGAAACATTAATGATAAAGAGAGAATTATTGATCGGCTGCCTCCTGCATGCTCCCCACTGCGGATTAAGCCTGCAATTGGGGCATCTGCCCTTGACCAGACTAGAACCTGGGACTGTTCAGTTCGTAGACTGGCACTCTATCCTCTGAGCAAAACCGGTTAGGGCCTGGCTTTTTCTTAAAATTCTGATCCTTGATTGACTGCCTGTTCAGAGAGCACACTTAAATTTTTCTAAAGTTGTATTTGTCCCAGATCCTTTTCACATGTGAGCCTTCTCATGTTTTGAAATCAGCACGTGTGATTGCCCATGTTTGTCTGCTAACATGTGAGCTTCCTAAGCTGAGGAACTGTTTGTTGCTCTCTTTTGGCCACGCCAAGAATCAGCTCAAGAATCAGACCAGCCAAAACCGGTTTGGCTCAGTGGATAGAGCATCAGCCTGCAGACTGAAAGGTCCCAGATTCGATTCCAGTCAAAGGCATGTGCCTTGGTTGTGGGCACATCCCCAGTGGGGGGTGTGCAGGAGGCAGCTGATCGATGATTCTCTCTCATTGATGTTTCTAACTCTTTGTCTCTCTCTTTTCCTCTCTGTAAAAAATCAATAAAATATATTTCTTTAAAAAAAGAATCAGGCCTGCCTTAATGTAGGTGCTCAGCACAGGTGTCATTGCAGGCGTTGTGTTTGTTTGAAGCAGATGCTCTATTGACTGTGTTGTTGAAGTTTGCAATTGGACCTTAGTGGCTGCCTTCCCTTTCCACTGATAGTCACAGGGAAGGATTTATAATAATTGCCACCTTTGGAAACTCCTGGGCTCACATTGACCCCAAAGGTGACAAAATCAGCAGGCTCATTAAGACAGAGTAAAGATAAACTAGTAGGATAGGGATGGACAGTGCCCAGGAGTCCTGGCCTCCCTCCCTCATTAACCCTGTTGTTTATGCCCTTTTAATCTCAGTTGTAGAAAGCAGGCATCAGAGGGAGGAACGAAAATGGTGAAGCGGGTGGGGAGGACAGACCAAAACCATTTTATAAAAACCTGCTAACGGCACAAAATTGGAAAGAAAATCTTTGAGCTCTGGGAGACCCAGACTGTTAAAAATCTTTCGGCTGGGGAGCTGGTGGAGATAAAAAGTGATTTTGAATTGCGAGTACTTGGAAAGTGACAGTGTCACCAAAAGCACAGCCTGGTGATTAGAAAAGAGATTTTCCAGCAGGGCTGATAGAAATGTGGAACAAGTTCTGAATTACAGCCCCAAAAGGAATGTCCCTGCTAAAATGTATTCTATAGAAATAAGACATCCAGGGTAATTTGTGGCTGTATTTTTAGGACTTTTAGACTGATTGCCTGGAAGGCTCAGCTGGGATTTCTTTCCTCTGAAGACTGGGTAGCACAATTAGATGGGGTATTACAGGTCATGGTCTACCTGCCTCTAAAGCCTCAGGATTTGGCTCCTGGGAGGCAAGATGTGAGTGGAGCCTGTGACAAATCCTTGAGCCCCTAGGGGAAGCCTAGTGATTCATGTGGAGAGACTGTGATTTCTCTATGGATTCAGCTGGCCGATTTTGGTTGCAGCTAAATCTCGCTAACCTAGAGAATCTCGACTCTACTTTCCACTCCTTTACACACTTGACTGTGTGTGTTGTTTGGGTTGGATGGGGGCTGAATGGCCCATACCCAGCCAGGGGCCTCCCTTTTTTTTGTAGTTAACCCTCTTCTTTACTGAAGATCTAATGGGTTCCCAACTCCGGCTCAAAGTCAGAAATAATAAGTGTGTGAGGTGGTGGATTTGGAGGCTATTATATGGGAATTTACTTGCTGCCTTATTATTTAAGAAACCTCTGATCTGGGTTTTCAGGACAATACTCGGATTAGGATGCCCAGGGATAATGATACCATAAAGATGAGACCTAAAGTTTATTAATACAGACATGTCAGGGAAAGAGGAAGTAGAATGAGAAGTTGGTTGGTTCTCAAGTAATCTAACCATTTTATGAGTTGATTTATTGCATGGTGAGGAAATGTCTTCTATCATTTAGTAATTCTGCATTGGCCATTCATAGTGCTAGGAAGACAGATCAGTTAAATTCAACAGATATTTCCTGAATGCCTGCTATCGTCAAAGGAGTTTTATTTGTTAAAATAAGACATAAGAGAATAAGATGAAAGAAAGGGAGTTGGGACCTAGAAGTCCACCATGGACTTCAGGAGTTTGTGCACTCTCTGAAATGGAATACAAAATTCTGTGTGTGCTTGCCCTTGTGCACTTTTTCTTGGGAAAGACTCCTCCTTTGGCATCAGGCTCTCAGACTCTATATCTGACCCTGCAAATATTACAGATTAGGCATCCAGCTGCTCCTAGAATTGATTGATAATATTCCATGCCCTGTGACTCTTTCATGAGGAGAAATATCAAAGGGCAGCACCCATACATGTATGCTGGTCCCCTCCATTTCCTGTATGTCAGGTGCTAGGTCATGGTTCTTTTAGTGCACAGTTCTATATTGTCCTAATGTAGAAGAGTAAGAAAATGAAAGAAGTGCCTTTGGGACAAGCTGTGTTTTGACGCCACTGAATTAGAAATAATTCTGGAGACCTATGTGGCACATGTTTGCTAATGGGGGAAACGAAGGCAGGAAGGCAGAAAGGAAAGACAATAGATGTGGACAGAGTGTCCCCTATCTGGGCAAAAGTACAGGACGATTAGAGAACTTTGTGTTCTGTCCTTCAGGAGTCTGCAGTGGCTCGATAGCCATCATAATAAACCTCTCTATTAAGTTTTATGATTTAACTTTGACAAATGTCCAAAACCAGCCAGGTATAAACGTTTAAGTTAAACATGTGAAGATGAATCACTTACCATTGTTTTGCATCAAACATTGATGTACACATCTAACTTCCTTGAAAGAAATGGGAGAAATAAAATAAAGCCCAGAATATTCTCCTCATACCAGCTGGGGGCAATCCAGTACTACAAATGAGAACACAGAGAAAAAGTGCAACGGAGAGCTCATTTCTAATGTTGCTGCTATTGCATGAACTGCTGTCTTTTCTCGAAATAACTTATTGTGGGCTCTGAAAGCCATAGTCATGAGCTGTGCTGATATGGTCATTTGGAAATACACTCTTTCCTTTGCAATGGCAAGTCCCCATAGCAAAGAGACCTTGGGTCCCATGGCAACTGAGCTTCACAATCTTCCAGACTGTTGAGCCATGAAGTTTGTGGCAAGTGACCCCTAAGACTGCAAGCTGATTGCTCCCTTGTCCAGGAATGTTCCACCTTGTTGGGTAATTCTACCCATATATGTACACATTTCCCAGTGATTAATAATGCCATGATTCTCATGCCATGGAGATGCTCATGTTATTCTGATAATGTGCTTTACAGATAAGCTTGGGTACTTGTGGCATTGCTCTGAGTAAAATAGTGATATTCTTCACTTCCTAACATAAAAGCATTGCTTGTCATTTCAAACTTGCATTTTTGATTCTAGGCTAGGTTTCACAGATGATGCAATGTAGCATTTGACATTTTCTCTTTATTTTCAGAGTGTGTATCTCTTGGGGCAATAGAACCATATGTGAGGCTTGTGAGGTGCAGGATGGCTCATAGTAACATAAAGTGCTGTAGATCAGAGAAGGGAGATTTTGATAGGCTGCTGTTGTCAGCACAACTCCCATGGAAAAAGAGCCTGACACCTCTGCTTTATCCTGCCTTAGCAACCGAGAGCTGTGCAGTGTGTTCCTGGGACCTCGGCCACATAACTATACCCATTGGGGACTTCCTCTTGGATGAAAGGAAGCCAAGTGTTTGGGTTTGATTATTTCTTCTAATAGAGGGGGCTCTTCTTTACTCTTTTGGAACATTATAAAGTAAAAATTCCCTTTTATAAAGCTTTACATGAATTTTTCATGTAAAAATAATAATATATTACTATTGTCATTCCTTGAGAGTTTACTCTCTCTGTTGGTGGTAAGGAAAAGACCCTATTGTGATCCACTTTTTAATTCACCAGTATTTTGGTTGCTTTTATTCCTGAATTTCATTTTTAGTGTGTCATTTTACTCTGTCTGATATAAATTTAATCACTGCCTCTCTGAGTATCTGCTGGTTGCGACTTACAGAGCAGAATCAAAGTAATAACAGAGATACATTGGTGATTCCAAAAACTCAAGCCAATCAGATTAGAAAGTAATCTTCCTCAGCGATGAAAAGAAGTGTGGGTTCAGACACAAACTCTTAGTTTTTGACAACTCAGGACAAGAGCTGTTTCAAATAAAACTTGTATAAGATTTATTCTCAAAACTGGTGCTATATTAATCAGAAAATTTGAGATTTTCACACACAAATAAACAAGTCTCTTAAATTTTCATTGAAATTGTTGTTATTGGTACATTTTTGCCTATGAGGGTGACTTTTCTATTGAATAAACTAATTCTGGTAATACTCTGTTGATTGTCTGTTGGACATTAGGACAGTCTCACACATCATACAGTTTCTTCTGTACAACTGAGACCAAGGTCTCACATGGGGAGTGGCTAAGAGATGCCAACTGACTTCTTAAATCTCTCCCAGCCTCATCAAACCCTTTTTCCTATTTCTCCTCTCTAGTATGACCATATACTTTAGTGTAACTCAAATCTTCTGTGTGTTTTTCTTTATGGTTGGTGTTACTCAGGGCTAAAATATCCTTTATCCTCCTAAAAATCTTACCTAGGTTCATAACATCCCATCTTTGCCTAAGGCACCATTTTCTCCTTGGAGCATTCCTGATCAAAAGTTGAACCCTGCTGAAACCAGTTTGGCTCAGTGGATAGAGCATCAGCCTGCAGACCAAAGGGTCCCAGGTTTGATTCCAGTCAAGGGCATGTACATTGGTTGCAGGCACATCCCCAGTGGGGGATGTGCAGGAGGCGGCTGGTCGATGTATTTCTCTCATCGATGTTTCTAGCTCTCTATCTCTCTCCCTTTCTCTCTGTGAAAAACCAATAAAATATATTTTTAAAAAATGTTGAACCCTGTAGAATCTCATATTTTATCTGTCATTTTGTCACCCTGTAGAATCTCATATTTTATCTGATCTTATGGTATTAAAATATTTTTATTTATGTTAAACAATCAAAAGATCTTAAATTATACACTCCATGATAGTCAAGACCAAATCTGAGTCAATGTACAATAACTCTTTCATAAGCTGCACCTTTATTTTACAGATAAAATGATCAAATGTTTTGGTAAATGCCCAAATGGCAATGAAGGCAGTCAATTCCATTTAAAATGAAGAAACTTTCCTTCACCAGCTTGGCAGCTATGTTATGCTTAGTGGACACTAGGTATTTGTGGAATGAAGAAAGGTGAATGGATGGGTCCATGAATGGATGCATAGATGGGATGGTTGGATGATTGGATAGATGTTCTGAACATGAGATTGGAATGACTATTTAGATTGTGTGTTTTCATGACACTCATTTTTCCTCTTCTCAGCCTTATTGCTCACTACACCTTCACCTTAAGGTCTCTGAGAATCCCTACACATCAGGGATCATTGCCAGCCGAGAGACAGCTCCTAGCATCATAGTGGCTTCAGGTAAGAAGCTAACCTTGTTTGCTTGCTGCTGTAAATTGTGTTTATTTTAAGAAGCTATATATCTCTGCTTGGAGTTTAATGAGCAAGCTAAAGATATTTTTGACTTGCACCTAAACTATTGACCAGGAATCAAGTATGCTGAGAAATGCTGCTCAGATATGTTTGTAATCTCAGTTCATCTCAGGCAATGCAAACTGCCCAAGTGGCTCATGGTTAGCTTGTGCATAAAGTCCCATCCACTCATGGCTCTGTGCTCTGTCTAGGTAACATAGGCTCTGAATTGTCAGACAGCGACATCAGCATGTTTGTCTCTTCAGATGCAGGAAACACTTGGAGGCAGGTAAGAAAGCAACGTTGCTGACATTTCAGTGGCATTAAATTTGCCCAACTCAATTTAATTCTGGGAACTTATTCTACTACACATAATAACTTATTCAACTACATATACATCCTAAAGCTTGCCATTGCATTTATTTAGTCTTAAGTCTTCGAGGTTAGTGAATCTTTTTGAAATTTATTTTTCCCTTACCATTCGATAAAAATGACTCATATGCAGAGCTTTTATAGAAGGAAGTTTATAAGTGACAGTGAAACCAAATTAGATCTGTCTGAATTTTTCCCATAAAAGAAAACCTGTATCCTAAAGTCTATCATATAGGGAACATGGAGCCTGGAAGGTAGATTATATGCCTAATGCTGGGTTATCTCCATAAATTCCCCTTGCCTTGAAGTCAGAATAGAGAGCAATGCAGTGATATAGAAATAGCAATTACCCAGGTGGCATTCTGAGATGTTTAAATCTCATGTGCAAAAGACAGAGTAATAACAATCACCGTGCATATGCTAGGGAGAGTAGAAATGGAATCACTTTAAACCAATGTGTTTAGCTTAAATGCTTCCTCTCTTTCTTCTGAATGAAAATTAGATACCCATAGCTTATAAAACAGGCATTTAATGAGCTTTAGCAATCATAACAAGATATGTGCCTAATGCATGGTTATTACCCTTCAATAAATACGTTTTAATAACCCACTGACATTTAATTATCATACAATAACTAGCACTGTAAATGGAAATTCAATGCACAGGTAATCACAGAGCAATGAGAACAACTCTGCTTTATATTTTAGTCAGAGATCTCCATGCTATGGTCCAATTGCTATTTCCTCATTCCAGACCCCTAATAAGTCCTCGGTGGGATTCACATGTTATGAGAAGGACAGAGCAAGTAAGAAATTTGCCTAAAAACCTTAGGGCTCTTGATCTGGGAGTTAATAAGGACTGTTAATTTTCCCCTAGAAAATAGTTAGAGAGCCAAGATCCCCCCCCCTTTTTTTTCCTTTTAATACCCCAAACAAAGCAAAATAAGTCTCTACTTCTATAGTCCTTGGATAGGATATACCTTTACATGAGTGTAAGAAGTAAATAAAGGAGACGTGACTTGAGGTGTTGAACACACAGTACAATATACAGATTATCTATTATTTTAGTGATTGGCAAATTGTGGCTCGCAAGCCACATGCTGCTCTTTGGCCCCTTGAGTGTAGCTCTTCCACAAAATGCCATGGCCTGGGAGAGTCTATTTTGAAAAATTGGCATTAGAAGATGTTTAAGTTTAAAAAAATTTGGCTCTCAAAAGAAATTTCAATTGTTGAACTGTTGATATTTGACTTTGTTGGCTAATGAGTTTGCCGATCACTATATTATGGAATTGTACACTTGAAACCTATATAATTTTATTAACCAGTGTCACCCCAATAAATTTGATAAACATTTTAAATTTTTCAAAAAAAAGTAAATAAAAGGGGAGAATATTATTTCTATCATGTAATCATAGACAAAGCTATACTAACAGTGTGACTGTGAAGCCAGCATGCACCTTATATAGAGAGGATTTAGAAATTATTTCACCCTATTTCCCCTTGATTTCACATTGGTTTCTCCACATTTAGAGAAAGATCCAATGGCACATGTACCCAAATATGATGTTCCATTTTTATCAGAGCTACTTTATGACTTGGTAGAGAACCTATTAATTGAACAAGAACACCTTTTTTTCTAGAATACTTGGGAAGTTTGAAAGAAATGTATCTGGGAGGTCACTGAAAGGCTGCAAGCTTCAGCTGCATCCACTACACACATACTCTTAGACAAGTCTCAACATCTCTCTCAACCTTAGAAGCCTCAGTATAAGCATGAGACTGTGAGATTAAGTATCTCCAAGGTTTCTTCTACCTTAAAATGTTACCCAATATAAGCTATCCAGTATTCTGACTTCATTATAAATGGGAATCAATAGAACATGCCACAAAATAAGATCGGACCATAAACATAAATACATAACTATTCTTTACATTTGTTTTGTGGTACGCCTAAAACAATTTTATATAACTCCAGGGGTACATGTATCCCATCTTGTGAAGTGTTGTTCAACCTTGTTCAATCAGGAGAGGGATTCTTTTTTCTCCTCATGTGAAGGCTAATTATCTGAATTTTGGATGTGTGTCCATGTCGATGTGGTTTCCTCTTCCAGATCTTTGAAGAAGAGCACAGTGTTCTGTATCTGGATCAAGGTGGAGTCCTAGTTGCTATGAAGCACACGTCTCTTCCAATTCGGCATCTCTGGTAAAGGCACCTGTTGCCCATGAGTCATACTCCTTGTGATTTCTCACTGTTAAGGCTAGGAGGCAGGCTGTCATACTGTGATCATGTTTGTTGTAAAATGTCAAGGTCTACTAGAACATAATTTACACCTTTGCTCTTTTACAATAAGATTGTGGCCTGTAATAAAAGAGAGAGAAGGAGGGAGGGAGGGAGGGAAGATGGGATGGGGGGAGGGAGGAAGGGAGGGACGGAGGGAGGGAGGGAGAAAGGGAGAGAGGGAAGGAGGGAGAGAAGGAAGGAGGATAAGCTCTGCTCCTGAAAGAGGGATTACATTCTAGTTTTTAAATGTGACAATACCCTCCCCAGTGCCTTATCCTTTCAGCACAGTTGTGGGTAAAATGCTGCGCCAGGTATAATCTCTGAGTAGCTTAACTCCTTTCCCAATTAATACCTCCTCATTACCATTACCAGTATGTGTGTTCTGCACAGAGATCAGGATACTGTTGCTGATTGTATTTTCTTAGTTTCCCTTTTGGGAGTGACATTCTGCAACTCTACCTGAAGGTCTTCTGCAGATGGACATGCAGGTCCTAATTTCCAGAGGGGTTTCCAACAGACTCCATGTGTGTTTTTGAAAGTGACTCTGCAGATTCGAACTTGTTTAAAGTAAACAACATTATTTTCCCTCCTCTGGTAGTTACTCTGGTGACCGAAGGGAAAGCTGCGGAAATAAGAGAAACAGAGGCTTAGCCTGGTGGGAGGCATCCATAGGGAAGGGTGAAGCAAAAGAAACATCTTGCCTGATCTTCAGATTACATACTTCTCTTCTCTTGCTATCAAGGATCTGTCTTTCTGTACCCATTCATTCACTCAGTGAGTCAACTAGGATTTATAACAATGTAAGAAAGACTCTGAAATACCCTGATCACTTGGAGTTGGCTGGCTCCATTCCATCTAAATGGTCCCCTGTGGCCATTGCTCTTCAAAATCATCTGAAAGGCTGGCTACGAGTGCCCTGAGGTTTTGGAGAGAGTCACATTGAGATCTAAGATCTAATAAAAGATCCAAATTTAAAGACAAATTCTATCAAAGACTCATTATTATTCTCATTTCATGCAGCTCTCCCCTCGTTAATGTAATAACACACCGAGGTCCCAAATCACTGGGCTCACTGTATCTCTACCTTCTCATGTAATTAAGGACTTATTCACGGCTCACTTTAACAATGCCTTCGGCACTTTTCAAATCAATTCTCTCCTGGTTGGTAGTATCTCCCTTTTGATAGGATTTTTATTTTTTTTCTTTGGAGATCTGAGCATTGTAAATTTTCCTTCTCTGTCATTAGGTTGAGTTTTGATGAAGGGAGATCTTGGAGCAAATACAGTTTCACATCTATTCCCCTTTTTGTGGACGGGGTTCTGGGTGAGCCTGGGGAAGAGACTCTAATCATGACGTAAGTGGAACATCTCTTACTATACATCCATACACTTGTTTTTTTAGCTGTTTGTTCACTTTACTGCTGTTAGGTTTGGGGTTGCCGGCAAAGTTTGCACATCTGATTTCATGATTCTCTAGTAAAGACAAAAAGAAAAAGAAAAATTATGAGCACTGGTTCCCTGACTTTTACTAATTATGGGAAGTCCCACACTGAGGGTAGGTGGCAAACTAACTCATTTCTTCCCCTCCTGAAAGGCCTGAGGGAAATTAGAAGAGATCATTGCAATAGAAAATAAAGCTATGCATTTAGAACTTTCATAACAAACACATTCACCATAGAGAAAGGCATGGGAATACAAGGAATGGTTTCACTTTAAGGCAGAACTCAGAGCTTGAGCAAAACCCCAAGCAGGCTTTTCTTTTTCCCTGGCTCTTTATCTAACCCAATTGTGAGGCATATTAAGGAAACCCTGAGAACAATCTGTTCCTGGGAAATTGCATTTGCACTCATTCTTGTCTGGAAAGAGATGATCATTAATTTGTGAAAGACTTGATTAATGACTTGCCTGCCTGTGGGGTTCAAAACATTGGCTTTGAATTTAAAATATGAAACTGTGCCTTTTCCTTCCCCTAGAAAATTGGACATAGGGAATAGAAGGAAGGATTTAAAGCAGTTGATCCTGTCGGCAATGGCAATGTAAAAATCCGGAAAGGGCAATGTAAAAATCAAAGCAAGGAGTTGGTATATTTTGTAAATTTTCTGTCCCCTTTTCTTTTATTTTTTTAATGATAGAAAAAAATCAATAGATATTTAACATGCCTAGTAGCTACACTTTGGGCCATGGTAAACACAGCTAGGTGAGCAGTTTCTTCCATAATTTATCTTCATTTAATGTTTATATTTGCAAAACAGATAAAAAATGCTGACCAAAAAGGCTGCTTTGTGGTTTTTATCCTTATCTACAATTAGTGATTCAAACACCTCATTAAATACCTATATCTTTTCAGCAACCACAGTAGAATGCACAGCGTAGGAAGCAGTTGTAAGCACTTGGTCTTGCCACCCACTTTCCCTAGCGACTGATAGGAAATTAAATACATGAAAATCATGTGCATTAGCAAGACAGCCTGGAATTACAATCTCAGACCATGTAGAAGTCAGAATTTGTGATTGTTTTCTCCATTATTGGTTGGTTGATTGATTTATTGATTTTATTTATTTATTTTTGTTAACTATTCTCTGGTACGATATATAGAACTGGTCTTTTATGCTAAACACTATACATCCTGCTACTACTAGTTCTTTAGTGATTTGACATTGGTTTTTACAAGTGAACAAAACTCTTCGAGCCTCATGTTACCCATAGGTGAAGTGAGCCAATAATAGTCACCCTCTTTATATAAATGTTTTTTGAGGATTAAGTGATAAGATCAATGTAATGTACTTATTAGTACACTGGACAGATGCTAACTGTTGTTATAACTATTGGCATTTTTATTATTGCAATTATCTTCATCTTTATGAACTCTGTAGAGTGTTTGGACACTTCAGCCACCGCTCAGAATGGCAGCTGGTCAAAGTGGACTACAAGTCCATTTTCGATAGACGGTGTGCCGAGGAGGACTACAGACCTTGGCAGCTGCACAGCCAGGTACGAGGGAGAGAGCAGAGGGTAGATGCTGAGCAAAAGGCATGGGGAGTCTTGGGGGCCAGCTAGTCATTCAAGTGTAAGAATTGGGGTTCTCTAAGCCAGAATGCTCATCTGGGGCTTTCTTACATGTTTTGCGTTCCACAGCAGTGAACAAACTCTACATTTTATAGCTTGTTGTGAAGTAATTTCTGTTTTTATTGTACTAGGATATAATGAGATAAAATTCAAATGTGCTTGGCTTAGACTTACAACACGAAATGAAATACCAACTCAGCGCGGGCATCCAAACCTAATTTATCTGAGCATGTCATAGGGATGCAGGGTGGAGGCAGGGTGAGCAAAGGGTCTTGAATTTGATCTAGCAAAGCAAACAGAGACATGAAATAACAAGCTTATGCTCTGTGAGTGATGCCAGGAGTGTCCTTCCTCCCCACTCCTGTAACTCCCTGCAATCAGGTACTGATTCTGGCCTCTTCCAGGGTACTCGTGGTGCAAGAATGCAGAATTTTTTTTGTTTTATATTTTATTGATTTTTTACAGAGAGGGAGGGAGAGGAATAGAGAGCTAGAAACATCGATGAGAGTGAAATATCGACCAGTTGCCTCCTGCATACCCCCTACCGCGGATGTGCCCACAACCAAAGTACATGCCCTTGACCGGAATCGAACCTGGGACCTCTCAGTCCAAAGACCTATGCTTTATCCACTGAGCCATACCGGTTTCGGCAAGAATGCAGAATTATTAATAGGAAACTTTCCTTTGTCCTGGCCCCTCACCTAGTTAGCTCATATCAGAATGCTTGTCTGAAAGCCTCTCTCCTTTGAGTTCCCAAGGCTGACATTATCCATGGTCCTGAAAGGATAGTCCATTGCAAAGCCATAGCTGTATCCAGGCAATGACACATCATTTACCCCCAGCCTCGACTGTGACATATTTACATGAAGGAGTAGAATGGAGCCAGCTAAAGTGAGTTTGCTTAAGAGAGACAGGTTGTAGTCACTCAGACAGAGCTGTGCTCTGGACCTTGAGACTTGCAGAAGGAGCTGTGTTTGGCAGAGCCAGATGATCCGCTGACTTGCCTAATCCATTCAGAGATTCAACAATGAAATTATCACTCGTTTACACGGCTGATATTTTCCCCTTTGGGAAGCAGGAGCTTTGTATGTTCAAAGGTTTTATTCTGTGGAGAAACACTGGATTCAGTTTTCTTGCTTGTCTGATAGATGGATATAAAATCAGTGTAAAAAGCTGTGTGGGCAGAAGCATCATAAATTGGGGCAAAAGGGATCTTTATATTTCTTAGGCAATGGTCTACTTTCACATGCTCATGAGTGAGCAAGGGTATACATCTATTCTAATAGAAGATTGAACCCAATTATCCCAGATGTGTTGCAATACATTTATGGGGCTGAGTCTTCATGATCCTTGCTTCTTCAAACTGACTTTATTAGTCACATTCTATACTGGGACTGCCAAAACTGAAAAGAAAAAGCTGACAGCCCTAGCGGTTTGGCTCAGGGGATAGAGTGCTGGCCTGCGGACTGAAAGGTCCTGGGTTCGATTCCGGTCAAGAACGTGTACCTTGGTTGCAGGTTTTCTGCCCCTGGGGGTGCATGCAGGAGGCAACCAATTGATATGCCTTTTTCATATCAATGTTTCTCTCTGCCTTTCCCTCTCCCTCCCATTCTCTCTAAAAATCAGTGGAAAATATCTCAGGTAAGGATTAAAAAAAAAAAAAAAACTGTCAGCACAGGAGACCACCTCAGTCCAGTTCACACTGAGGTTTGAGAACATCCTCCCGGACTGCCCAATGTGGTGCAGGGAAGATCCCAATGTTGTGCTCAAGTACCTGAGGTCCCTTCTCCTTCCAGGGGGAAGCATGCATCATGGGAGCCAAAAGGATATATAAGAAGCGGAAATCAGAGCGGAAATGTATGCAAGGAAAGTATGCAGGAGCCATGGAATCTGAACCCTGTGTCTGCACAGAGGCTGATTTCGACTGGTGAGCTGGTGCCTTTATCCCAAGGAGTCCCTCAGTGTATCAAGTCCTAGCTGTTGGTGTTGTTATTATGGTTATATTTATGAACTCTGTAGAGTGGATGCTGAGCAAAAGGCATGGGGTTTATTGGGGGCAAGGTGGTCATTCAAGTGTAGGAATTAGGGTGTTCTAAGCCAGAATGCTCATTCCATGCTTCTTTATAGGGCCCTTAATGAAAGCTGAGATTTGAAATAATAGTGACCTATTTAGAACCTCCTATTTTTATGAAATTACCTTTGGAGACAGCATGGATGCTTGTACATGTGTATATGGAGAAGCTAGGCATTTCTGTGGGCTTATAGAGGATTCCAAAGATGGCTGGTAATTATGTTCCTGTGTGATAGGTCTCAGGACAAACCACCCTGAGTTGCTTCAGATGTTAATAATGAAAACAAGAAATGTCTTTTCAGAGAGCAAACATATGTGTGTTCAAGATTAAACTTTCTAGAATCTAGGGATCCTGGGAGTGAAACGATGGCCTTAGAAGGCAGTAAATTTTCTATCCCTGCAAGTTTTTGATGGTTGGCTGATTCTTGCTTATGTGTGCATGGAAGGCATTTCTGAATTCGATGGCATTGCCAGTCTACAGCTCCATGATCCTAGAACTTTACAGGGAGTTGGCGGTTTAACCTGAAAAAGTCCTGAGAGGATTCGATGTTAATAAACTCAGAGTGCCAGTGTGAGTCTCCTGGAACATTTGGGAAGCAGAAATCTGGCTCATGGGGCCAGGAGTTCCCTTGCTTTGGTCTAGGCCAGTTTTCAATATTCAGGTGACGTTGAAAAATTACTGAGAATGAGAGGGTGGGAACTCCATTGATTATATCCATTTCATTGTCTGCTCCTGCCCCCACCTCTTATTTTTGTCTTTTTAGAAAATATTTCTTTTTATGTTTTGAGCTTAGAGAAGAGAATGCAATTGCTAAATATGTAGATTAGTGTTAAATGACTGAAAGTTGACCTGCTTGAGAACCAAAGTCATTCCTTTAAGAATTTATTTCAAGCTATGTAACAATCACTGGTCACATTTCTGATCATCAAAATATCTGAGAGGTATTATGTGCACACATACCACATATCTTAGAAAAAATAAGTCTGCTCAAGTAGCACTGGGCAGGCCTGGCAAAATTGGCTGCCAGCACTCAGACTGATCACCAAAGGCTGTTCCTCACTTGTGGGTAGACAGGTAAGGTAAGAGCCAGTGCTCTATTCTGGGCTCAGCCAGAGGGCAGAGAGCTTATCACAGTGGAGCTCACAATGAATTCTAAAGGGACCTCCCCAGCCATGATGGTGTTTAGTCATTGCAAGATGATGCCAATGACAAAAATACTTTATCCCTTTCCCACATTTCAGGGTTGACACCCTGAAATACCTTGACAGGGAAAATGTCCCTGGGAATTTTCAGTCATTCATTTCATCCCTCTTTCTGAAGCCAGGATGCTTCTCCTTCATCCACTGTATTCAAAGAGGATTTGTAAAGGAAGTGAGCATTTCACTTTTGCAATTGAACTTTAGCCTTATCATACAGCCATTTTTCTGCAGAGAGCAAATGCATCCTCTCATAAAAACCACAGGGAAGAAGTGAGGTGAGATGTTCCAGTCCCCTGGTTTCTCCTGAAAATGTATCTTCTTTTGGGAATATTTTTTACAAGGTGCCAAAATAAGCTAGACTTTTGTTGTCAGGGTCAGTTTTGTTTTTATTTTTCAAATTTAAGCTAGTCTAGAGTAAAAGAAACACAGGGTAAGGAAAGTAATCAGGTTTCTCCCCTCCCCCACCTCTCATACCCCTCAGTCTTGGCCCAATTCTTAAGTATTATATATTCATTTGAGATTGGAATCTGCTTCTCATAGCACTTACTGATATGTATTCTGATAAGTGGGAAATGAATTGTGAATGAGGCCATTGTATTGTTTTCTCTCCAAGGGGAATTTTTGTAATGGCATGATTTCTGAAAGTATTTTGGAAGACTTATTATGACCTTTTGGAGTTGCTACCAGTAGCTAGAGCATTATTGATCCCACTTGACTGTAACATAATGAAAGGTGGCTGTCATTGAATGTTCCCTCTTGCCTTGGTTCTTCCCTGGACAGTCCCCTGGGTGACCTTGCCTGTCATTCTCCAGCAGTTGTAAACTAATTATCTGAAATGAACACTGGGTATCCTGTAGGCATCAATTTTGAAGGCTTCTTACCCATGCTGTGTTGAACCAGCACCAAGTCCAGCTGGTATGTGCAGAATTTTAAGTGCCAGCTGCCTGGTGACAGGCCCCTTAAGCTGAGACTATTCTCCCTGCCCACCTCTTATGTGCCAGCATCTCACCTCCATCACACAGATGGGCCAGTTCATACGAGTGCTTGCTAGTCGCTGCCTGCAATTTGTATGTGCATGTGGAGGTGCATTTTGACATCAGCCTCTGCCTGGGTTCATCTTCCAGAACCCGAGGATGTCAGGCCACTTGGAGGGCCTTAGAGGCAAGAATGAGAGGAGGCTGAGAGAAAAGGCTTTGACTGTTTCCAACCAGATAGAAGATTTTTAAATCCTCTTAGTACTGACAGTTGGGACCAGGACAAAACTTTTCCTTGGGGAAATTCTCAGGACACTCCTGAAGGACACTTCCTTTCCTGCTGTGACTTTGAAGCATATGGCTTGTGCACAGACATACCTGGCTCCTCTACTTGGTAGATCCAGATGTCTTGGAAGAACACCCCAAAGACATCAACATGAATGAGCACCATGCCACATGTTGCTGTGTTAAACTCTTCAGTGAACTTTACACTGAGGGTGGAGCTTCCTCCACTGCCTGTTCACTAATTATAGCTCTCTCTGGACCAACCTCCATGTGTATCCTCCTAATGAATATTGTATCTGCTCTCTCAGCTTCAAGGTGTTTACTTAGAATTATTGGTCATTGAGTCCAGTCAGTGTGGCTCAGTGGTTGAGCATCCATCCATGCATCAAGAGGTCACTAGTTTGATTCCTGGTCAAGGACATGCCTGCATGGTGGGCTCGATTCCCAGTATGAAACATGCAGGAGTCAGCTGATCAATGCTTTTCTCTTGTAGATGTTTCTATCTCCTTATCATTCTCCCTTTCTCCCTCTCTAAAATCAATTAAGTATAATAAAAACGTAATATGCTTAATATGCTAAGTGTACAGTCATCCAGTTGGCTGTTCAATCAATCAAAGCATAATATGATAATTATATACTAAGGCTGCTCAACTGCTTGCTATGACATGCAGTGACCTCCAGGGGGCAGACAATCGCTGGTTGACCAGTCGCTATGACAAGCAATGACCACCAGGGGACAGATGCTCTGACTAGTAAGTTAGTTTGCTTCTGGAATCTGGCTGGTCAGGACTGAGTGAGATGAGCCAGATGCCATGGAGCCCTCCCATTGTCCTTCTCCTGCTGGCCAACCTCCCTCATCCCTCCCTGGCCCTGACCATGCACCAGTGCAGTCCCTCAGCCTGGCCTGTGCCCTCTTGCAATTCAGGACCCCTCGAGGGATGTTGGAGAGCCAGCTTAGGCCCGATCCTGCAGGCCAGGTCAAGGGACCCACTGGTGCACGAATTCTTGCAACAGACCTCTAATATATATATATATATATGAAAGAATTATTGGTCATTGAGCCTTCATTTCTACACAGGCACCCCTCTTGTCTCCAAGTTAGCATTTCTGAAAATGGGATCTTTAGGATATTTTTATGGGTAACATAGATATTCTCTGGAAAAAAAATTCCATTTTTGGAATTTAGTGAATACTTCTTCTTTGATTAAATGACTGGAGTTGAAGTTGCCTGTGGACTAACATGAAATGGTTCTCAGTAATTTTGCCACCTACTGAAAGGTTTCTCCTGGCTCTTTCCCCAACAGTGACTATGGTTATGAACGACACAGCAATGGTCAGTGCCTGCCAGCATTTTGGTTCAATCCATCTTCTCTGTCCAAGGATTGCAGCCTGGGACAGAGTTATCTCAACAGTACTGGGTGAGTATCTGAAGCAGTGACCTTGAGAAGTCAACCTTTGCTGCTTTTCAGCATGTGTTAAACATACAGAATTACTTCTGATAAAAAACCAGGCCTATTTCATTACAGCACAATTTATTTGCTTTCATTCATTTTAGTAATGAAGCACAGATTTGCATTAATGTCATACATTTCATCTGAGAGTAAAACCCCAGTTGTAAATAAAGAAGTCAAACAGGTTCGAAGATAATTTTGATAATATATATATTGCTTCTTTTTTTAATACTTTATTTAAGAACTCCTTAATAAAGACTACATTTTACCCTCCCTGCATCCATGGGAGGAAGGCCAAATAACTATTTCATATCTGTATTTCCTGCATTGTAGATGTGGGACCTAGAGTCAGAGAAGAAGCTCATTGACTTTTCAAGAGTATATTAGCAGGAAATGGTTTTTCTATGTCCGCTCTTGGCATGTTGAAAGCATGCATTTGAATCCTTATAAATCTGGAATCAGTTTCTAAATTTTGGGTTTGATGTTCTGTGTTGAGTTTTATTATTTTAAGAAATATCATAAAAGAGAAAATAATCTATGACTTTTCCACAAATATATCACTGATGTTTATAGACTTACAGTAGTGCAATGTGATATATTTGGATGCTAAAGACACATTTTAGCTATTTGGGGAAATTTAAATATGGGCTGGTGATTGGGAGATGTATTAGTTGGGGTTTTTCAGGGGTATGTTTTTATATCAGATAGCTAGCTAGCTAAATGGATAGATAGATAATTTATTCTTATGAGGTATTGGACCACATATTTATAGAAGTGGGCCAATCCAAATCCCCAGATTTGCAGGGTGCATGACACACTAGATAACTGATGTATGCTTGCAGCCCTAGTCTGAAAGCAAGAGAACCTGGAGAGCTGACTGAACTGTCCACCTGAAGGCCAGCAGGCTTGACACCCAGGAAGACCATTGTTTTCATCAGAGTGTGAAGGCAGGAATAGCGCTGATGCTCGGGGGAAGGCCATCGGAAAGGCCTCTCTTACTTAGGGAGGTCAGCTATTTTGTTCCCCTCAGATTGTCAACAGATTGGATGAGGCACACACACATTGGAGAAGGCAGTCTGCTTTACATGTGAATCTCACTCAAAACCACCTTGGCAGAAACACCTAGAATAATGATTGACCCAATATCTGGGCACCAGGTGGCCTATTCAAGTTGAAAAATGAAATTAACCATCACAGATTATATCTAAACCTAAATATTTATATTTATGATATTATATTAACAATATATGTTATAGTTATATATTTAGGTATGATAATCATATTTTGGTTAGGCCAAAGTAAATAAATAAATAAATTAATTAATTAATTAATTAACCTATCTTATCTTTTACAGATATATAATGTGTGAGATTTCCTATAAATTGTTAAAAAGGAAAAGATGTTGGTAATATATGAAAATGTTAATAGAGACATAGGAATTTATTATACTGTATTCTCTCTGTGCATATTTTTTTAATATGTTTTATTTATTTTGTACAAAGAGGAAAGGAGAGAAATAGAGAGTTAGAAACATCGATGAGAGAGAGTCATCGATCAGCTGCCTCTTGCACACCCCCTACTGGGGATATGCCTGCAACCAAGGTACATGCCCTTGATCGGAATCGAACCTGGGACCTTTCAGTTCCCAAGCCGACGCTCTATCCATTGAGCCAAACCGGTTTCGGCTCTCTGTGCATATTTTAAATTTTGATATTAAAAAATTAAAAAGAGGGAAAGGAAAGAAGAGAGGAAGAGGAGGTGCAAGGGAGAAGAGAGTAAGATATAGGCATTTCACCAACAGGCCAGTTCTACTTGACAAATCCTCACTTCTCATGCCAGCTATAGGACGGGAGTGGGACTTCTGGATTTTCTCTTAGGCACTTACCTTTAGTTGAAAATTTTAACTTTTTTATTTTTAATTTAAAAAAGATTTCCAAAATAATATATACTTCTCTTCAACAGGAAGGGAAAGAACAAACATAATTTTCTCTGATGTCATGGATTCCTAGAACCTTTGAATGAAGGAATAAGTTTTGATTTCTTTGATCCATGACACAAAATCTAAGATAAATACAAAGAACATTTTCACAGCCATGAGTCAGTGAGGTTGTCAGCATCTAATACCTTGGGAAACAATTGAAAAGGGCTGATGGACTAGATAACCTTAATGTTATAACTAAGTTTATAACATTTAATGCATAACTTAAACTTCTATTGCTTGTATGTACCAGCATGTTTAGAGCTTGTAAAGGGCATCAAAAACCCCTAAAGTTAATTTCAGAATTGATTTTTTTTCACTACCTATCAGTCAAGGAAGTTATATTACTCTCTCTGGTATAGATGAGAAGAGGCTGAAGTATAGAGGATTCTAAATTGTTCCAGATGCTACTCAATAGGCAGAATGAACACACACACACACACACACACACACATTTTTAAAGCTACCTCTAAATAGGTTTCACCAATCCTTAGGCAAATAAGTATTTGAAATCTGAATAAATCCTGACTTAGATAAAATGAAATGTCACAGATGCATAAATTATTCAATGGCATTTTTCATCCATTCCCTATAAAATTAAAATTAAATTTAAAAGTATGATTTAGTGGTCAAAGTCCAGGTGTATTAGTGTTTGCCAATGCAGTTATGTTTATTAACCACAGAATGACAAGCATTACTCCCCAGGGCTTGGCCTTCCCTCTCAGAGGGTAGTTCATGTTGGTGGGTTTTACATGATAGCATCTGGTCCTAAAGGATTTTTAAGTTACCATATCTACTGCCTTCATCTATTCCAGGCAAACATTGTGCAAAAAGGCACCAGCCTCAGTGAGCAAGCTTGTGTAAAGAGAGCATGTGATAAACACCAGCCATCCCCAGGTCTGATAAATCCTTGCTCTTAAGAGTGAGATGCTCACAGGTGGAGTGACCATCCACAGAGGGCCCAATGCGCTAGTGTGTGTGTGTGTGTGTGTGTGTGTGTGTGTGTGTGTGTGTGAGAGAGAGAGAGAGAGAGAGAGAGAGAGAGAGACAATAGTAACCTCACTGGTCAGTGTGTTGTCTAAACACACTGTATTTTGCAAGAGTTGGCAAGGGGTAAAATGTAGATGAAATTGAAAAGGAATTTTCTGCCTTTCTTACTGTCACTCCAGCCCCTCACCCCAGATGTCACTTGTCTGTGTGTTGATTTATTTGCATCTAAACACAGGTCCAGTATTTAATGTTATAGCTTTTACAGTACTGTCATTAAGCACTTAGCTTTTCATTTAAATATTTAATTACAAAAGAAATGTATAGACAGGTTCTGTGTTTAAAAAGTCCATTTACATCATCACCCCAATCCTGCCCTCTTTTTCACACAACTGTGATCTGATTGCCATGTGTGTTATCAAACACTTTTTATTTGCCAGCGGATTATTATGCCAAGAAAAAAATATACAAAATTAATTGGGGAGTTTGTTTTTATATGTGATGTCCTTCTAGATATATTGTTATTTTCCCCCACTTTTCATTCAAAAACATACCTTCAACATCTTTTCAAGTTGGATTATATAAGGTTGCCTTCTCTAATTATTGGTATTCTATAGTATGAATTCCATGGTATTAATTCCATGGTATTAAAGCACCTGGAATTCTAAGGCATCCTCTTTTTGGACATTTTGCTCATTTCCTATTTTCTTCTACAATAAACAATACTGCAATTAACATCCTCATACCATCATAATTGTTGTTAAAAGCATACAACAATAATTAGTCTCTTTTCACAATTGGAGGTGTTTCTGCTGATTTCTAAAGCAAATTCCACACAGCTCATGGGTTCTTTCTTGGACCTTTGTATCCAGGCTTTTCCAGATATCTGCCCCGTATGGGCTAAAATACTAGCTTCCTGCTTGCAAACCTCCTTGGAGTCCAACACAATAGAGATTCATTTTCACTAACTGTCATTCTCCTTTAAGATATAAATGCCCATAGATTCTGTAAGGCAAAGCTGAGAGGAAGGATGAGGAGCATTTCCCACATTAACAAGGCGAGGAAGGTCGTTTCAGACTAAAGAAACCAAGAGATTACCTGGTGAAAGGGCCACTGTGCCTATAGAATTGAGGAGCCACCATGTACCCCAAGTCTCTCCAGGGCCAGTTTTAGCCCATCTGTGGGCATTGCCTGCTCCCATCAGTACAGAATCTCATTTAGCTTTGGGCAGAGATGAATCACGGGGGCATCTCAGGTGCAAGGTCAGCCTGAGAGTGCTCCTTCCATAAATATTGCTCCCCAGACATCTCACTCTCTCACACTATCTCCTACACAGAGCACACCTGTGGTCATGCAGTCAGAGTTTGAATTGAATGGGTCTAGTAAACAATCATTTCTTGTCAGTCAAGCTTAAACGAGCAAACCTCCCAACATCACCTATCTTACAGTTTACCTGAAAGCATGCAGGTAAACCTTCCTTTTCCTTTTATTATTTTTAAATGTCTCACTTATAAATGGTTTTGTTCACTTTCACAGTCAGCTTATTACCCTGTGTATATATAGCAGTGTTCTCAGGTTCACTCACTTCACCGTGATGGAAACATTCTACCATCGGCTAATATCATGCTCCATAGAAATGCTATCTTGAGGAGATGCCAAAATATTATCAGCTTCACTATGCAGACTAATTGTGCAGCTTTTGTTTTAGTCCTTGGCTAGGACTGAGAAGAAATAGTTGGAATAGAAGCTGAAATGGGTACAGCATGTCCCTCCAGGTGCCTGTGGCCACCAGTCCTTAGTTCTTGGTCCCTGAAAGAGTGTGTGGACAGAGTCCAGCTGTGTTCTCCACTGTAAGCTCCCTGCTCTGTTCATTCACCCTTTACCCTCACACCTTCCATTAGCCATTCTGTGGAAAGCAAAGAGGCTGGTACTGGAGCTTAAGCTTGATATGTATGCAGAATGAAATATAATGGGGGTCTTTTGTTTGATGGAAAACAGTTAT